AATGATATATTACATTATCTGATCAGATAAAATGGCCCTGAGAAACCCTATGTTCAAATGTGCCAAAAATTCAAAAATGTCAAAATATCGAAAATTAAATTTCAATAACTCAATACATATCATACATCGTTAGAATCGTAATTAGGTCAGCTATCTGAATGTGTAACCTTTTCGTAAAATAACGAGATCTTTGTGTTATAAACTTATATTTCAAGTTTCAACAAAATCGGATTAAAATTGTAACCTCTATAGGGTCCACAACCTTGATATACCATATTTTTACGCTATTCGAGAACGAACGCCGGCCATTTTGTCTGTCAATTTTGGGCCGATTTTCACGAAATTCGAACTCAGTCGTCCTTAGTGTGTAACGGTGATATAATAATACGGTTTTTAAATCGGATAAAAATTATGACCTCTATAGGGTCCACAAGCTAAAAACGCGATTTTTCGTACAATCAGGGGCTATAATTCTGGAAGTTACGGTCCGATATGCGTGAATATCGAAAGGAACTGAGATCTTTGGGTTATAAACCTACATTTCAAGTTTCAACAAAATCGGATAAAAAGTGTGACCTCTATAGGGTCCACAAGCTAAAAACGTGATTTTTCGTACAAACAGGGGCCATAATCCATGAAGTTTCGATCCGATACATGCCAATATCAAAAGCAGCCGAGATCTTTTGGAGATAAACCTATATTTCAAGTTTCGTCAAAATCGGATAAGAATTGTGACCTGTAGAGTGTCCACAAACAAATTGTGGACGGACGGACGGACAGGGGCGACGGCATAATGTGGGCGTATTAAAACGATAGCTTCGGTGATTCCGGATATTTTGCATTGTCGCAGAATGTTTAAAATAGCATTATCCTCTAAGTCACACCCACTTTCCCAGAAAAAGCGAAGAAATCGTAACGATCCGACAAGCAGTTGCTGAGATTTAATCAAAATGGAATTGGAATAATAATAATAGAAGAATAATAATCTTAACAAAAACAATAGTGTTTCACACAAGCTATGCAGTGTGAAACCCTAATAATTTTAGTAATCTCAATAGGCTTTAAGACAAAATAATAATAAAAATAATTTTAGTAATCTCAATAGGCCTAATAATCTTAACAAAAACAATAGTGTTTCACACAAGTTACGCAGTGTGAAACCCTAATAAAAATACAACTAGAAACAAAAGATGTATTAATTAAAATACAACTAGAAACAAAAGTTGTATTAATTAAAATACAAGGCGGGCCTAATTAGGCCTATATGTACCTCTCCGACAAGACTCAAGAGTTAAAAAAAACAAAACCTATATTATTGACGGTCGGAGGGTATCATGTTAGTAATAGTTATTGAATTTTAATCATTAGAATTTTATACTTTTGAAAAGCAGAATTTTTTAAAACAAGTATTCGGTAGCCAATATGCAGGCCTAATAAGTTTTATGTAGTCTTCAATAAAAATACAGATGTGACGTCATCTTTTGATGTTGGCGTACTAGTACTTCAAATAAAGCACACCTCTATGGTACCTACAGTACAATTAAACAATTACCTACAAATAACATATTACGTTAAATATTGTTTATATAATTAATTAATCACCAGGTGATTTTGTAACTAAAAATCTGGTAGGCCTACAGCGCAGTGGATGCTTAAGGCTGAACCCCGGATCCATTCACTTGGTTTGATATGCTTATTGTTTGAAATAATTGTTTAGCCTATATTATGTGTCATGTCTGCGGGTTTGTATTGTGTAATTGTTTATGTGTGATGCGGTCCTCCTGCTCTTACTATTCTCGCAGCTAACCGAAGAACTCCAAATGCATCAGCCGCTTATATCAACATAGATTTATGATGTTGTGTGCCCATAGTCCCTATCAGGGAGCATTAAGTTTAGTTCAGACGATAAAAACAGATGAGTTATGATGTCAACTTCAGCCGAACTCGGAAACACGCCCCTTTCCTTATTTGGTCAGTTAGATTGGAGAAATTGTGATAGTCGAAAATGCAATAGAGAAAATCTGATTGTTGAAAATGCAAAGATGAAAAATTTACAGTGAATTTGCAAAGGCAAAAAGTAGGGAGGGAAAAAACATAACTAGATTGTTAATTTCTGTCGAGCAATTTTGTTTAAAATGTATTAAGTGTTATGTGATATTTACATGTGAAAAATCTCGAAAATGGCCAATTTTACCATTTTGACAATCATAATTTTGCAATTTTAACCATGATATTTTCTCTTAATATGGCAACGATTCAGCTCCATAGAATTGTTCATTATAGGTCATGAAAAACAACTGAATCAAGTTTCATATGGTAAATTTCAAAAGCATTTTGAAGAATTATATTTTTGTTATCTATCTACTATATTATCAGTGCTGGGTTTAGACCTGATGAGGCCCTTTGTTAAAGATACTTTCCCACAAAAGTATTCACCGGGTGGTTATTTCCAATAAAAGTACAGTAAACCTCGCTTAAGTCAGATTCGTAGAAGTCGGATCTTCGCTCAACATGGATACTATAGTTTGGACCCTTTATTCCTGCACGTTTTTCTTATTAAATTTCTGCGTGTAAGTCGGATCTTCGCTCAATTCGGATCAAAATGTTCGGTCCATTCGATCTAATTCCGGCTTTTTCCTTCGCCTAAGTCACATCGGCAGTATGTTCACAACATGCTGTTAAAAATATGCCCCCCTCTGCCAAACGGCCTGGCTAACTCCATTGGAATCCAAATACAGGGCAGCGCACAAATTTGCGCAACTTGGCCATATAAAACGAAGCGAAATTGGAATTTTTGAAAAAATTTGATTGTAATTGGGCTAGGCAAAGCAATAATTGACTGAAGCTTCTCATAGTCCGGCCGCAGGTCGTCAAACCTGGAAATATAGTCCACCTAATGTTTTTTGATGGATTATATATCTTCAGTATGTGTAGATTCAGAATCCGGATGATGCCACCCTGGCACCCTTGGGGAAATTTAAATATTCAAGATGGCCACCATGAGGCAATTTCTGGTTATTTAGTGGGGTAAAATATGTGGCAGATTCTCTCAGACTTCAGTTTGAAGATGTTTTCTATAAGAATTCGATCCACTGAATCCAATGAGCTTGGGTATTCCTCCTAAAAATGACGGCTAATTCCACTAGGGTGTCAAATTCAAAATGGTGGCTTATTTTGGCAAGGTCTTCAGCTAACTTGGATCTTTGCGTAACTCAGATAAATTTGGTCAGTCCATTTAGATCCGACTTACGCGAAGTTTACTGCATGTCAATTTTGGTATGGAAAGTAGAGACACCCAATATTACAAGAAAAATACTGGATTCCTTGAAAAACACCCACAAGGACAAAAATGAAATGGTATCACTAATTGACAGCCAGAGGATTAAGGGCTGAGTGATGTCAAAGGGGATAATCCGAGAATATTTTAGACAAGATCGTCTTTTATATGCAATGGATTCTCCTCCGGCTCAGCACCCGTTGCTAGTTCCCGCGACCACCAAGTCATGTGACACAAACATGACTTCTTTTTATAGATTTTTTTATAGGACATAATTCAGGAAGTTACGGTCAGATATGCGCGAATATCGAAAGGAAATGAGATCTTTGGGTTATAAACTTACATTTCCAATTAAGACAAAATCGGATAAAAATTGTGACCCCTATAGGGTCCACAACCTTGATGTACCATATTTTTACACTATTTGAGAATGAGGGGCCGCCATTTTGTCAGTCAGTTTTGGGCCGGTTTTCTCGAAATTCGAACTTAGCCGTCCTTAGGGTGTAATGGTGATATACTAAAACAATTTTTTAAATCGGATAAAAATTATGACCTCTATAGGGTCCACAAGCTAAAAACGTGATTTTTCGTACAATCAGGGGCCATAATTCAGGAAGTTACAGTCCGATATGCGCGACCATCGAAAGGAACCGAGATCTTTGGGTTATTAACTTACATTTCAAGTTTCATCAAAATCGGATCAAAATTGTGACCTCTAGAGTGTCCACAAGCTAAAAACGCGATTTTTCGGACAATCTGGGGCCATAATCCATGAAGTTATGGTCCGATACATGCCAATATCGAAATGAACCGAGATCTTAAGGTGATAAAGCTATATTTCAAGTTTCGTTGAAATCAGATAAAAATTGTGACCTGTAGAGTGTCCACAAACAAATTGTGTACGGATGTCCGGACGAACAAACAGGGACGACGACAATATACGTCCACATGAAAATGTGGGCATATAAAAACTGTTCGGTACCTATTATAGTGGTCCAGTCTTCACTAGGTATGACAACAAAAAATTCAACTATCCCATATGGCTTAAATTCTGTTATTTCTGGATAGGGTTGTCCAACAGCTTTACAATGACACCAAAATGTGCTTGAGAGTAGTTGAGAGGCCCTATAATTATGGAGTTATGCCAAATTAATTGTCGCTAATTAACGCCCTTTTTGTCTGAAGAACAAAGAAGGAAAAGTGAAGCCATTGCGCGCAGTCACTAGCAGTAAAATTTCACTAACTTTCTTACATTGGGGTCACGGCGAAAAGCTAGCCTTTTATTTACGTAAATAAGCTCATTTGAAGCCGCAGTTTCGTACCAATCAACAATACGACGAGGAAGAAAAGCTGCTATGCAAATCACACTGGGATATCTGAAGCGTGACTTGCGACAACAAAATTACGTCAGCGGTTCACCACTTCACTGGCGTACCTAATACCTATCTTCACTATTTGTGATATAATTACTTATTTCAATACAAACTGTAATGATATGTGTTGACAATTGTGCGTTTGAACCTATTTGAACTTGCGTAAGGAGTCTTAGACTGTATCAATTGTAGCGTTAAACACAGTTTAACGATACATTTAATTGTTGCTACTCGTCTGCTGTGGCTGTAGCAAGACAGACGGAAGACATCAGTAGTGGAAGTGGAACCATTTCTAATTTTACACCAAGCATTATTGGTTGATGAAATCCTTATTTATCTAAAAAGGATACTGTTAATATAACTCTCAATGGATGATGCCATGACTAATTAAAATATAACTGCTTTGTTACGTATCGGCTTCGATCTGTGTTACGAGCCACTTTAGCTTTTCTCTTCGTCTGTGGACGAGCTATTACTAAAAATGTGAAACCACTTTTAAGTTAAAGTTTTATCCTAAATATACTTTAATAATTCTATAAAATCTTACAGATCAATTTTTAAAATCAAATAATGTTCATATCACAGTTATAAAAGAAGTAGAAGACCATTTTATACTGTAATAAATATTTGTTTAATGTAGTCTCCCGGGGTTAAAGAAAGATGGCGGCGCCCACTGATGTGTGTGTGTGTTGGTGAAGAATAGTTGGTAACTGGCCTGGGTTATTTGATGGAGAAATTATTTTTTTAATGTGAAACATATATTTACTGTTTATTTGGCATTCCAAGATCTAGTTATTGGTATTCAGGATAAGAAGTTTCGTAACTTCAAGAGAACAAGAGAACTTTTACATGCCGTTTCGTACCTTCGTTCGTTAATTTCAATTATATTTATTGTCAATAATCACAACCAGAGGCGGATCCAAGGGGGGGGGGGGGGGGGCAGTGCCCATTTTTACTGCTGAATGTGCCTTTTCTTAGACCCAAATATGTCCGTTCTCAACCCGTTGCAGGGATCCCAAATGACTCAAACCATCGACTCAAAAACACCAGTCTGGTCTAATCAATGCTTCCATTTTCAAACGAATTCTTGTTGTTTAGCTGACGGTGCCCTAATCCTATAGAGTGACTATAGACAGACATCAATGCTAGCATCTTATGGAATCGGGGCGTATACACTCATGCCCATCACCGACGCGCATGAGTGCAACTTGAAGTCTTGATGTAGCATTGTTTCATGTGTGGACAGTACACAGTACAAGTTACAAGGCTTTAAATAGTGAAGTGACTAGGGAATAGATTCTTCTTTTTTCCCATCATAATGCCTCGCTCGCCTTGACAATTTTCAACTCACATGTTCAACTGGCTTTTTTGCTCTATTTTAATGCTCTTTTTCAACGATTTCAGAACGTTAACTTAGACGAAAATATCAGCCAAATAGCTTTTGGAATGGCTACAGATGCAAGTAAATGACGAATAATTTTCTTGCAGGGACCCCCCCCCCCCAAAAAAAACCCCAACCCTCTCAGGGGCGTGCCACGTCTCCGCGATCAGTGCCCTCATTTTGCAGCGCCCCCCCCCCTTTTCAAAATTCCTAGATCCGCCCCCGACAACTCATTGTCAATAAACACAACTCACCCAACAGAATGGGCTCTAGAATCAATACCAGATTAAATTATTTTTCAATCGCTTTTTAATTGCTTTAACAATCGCCAATCAATTATCGTCAAGAATCACAACTCACTCGACAGAATGGGTTCAGTAATCAACACCAGATTAATAACAACAAAAGGCTTGAAAAGGCAGGTACACTGTAACCCAGGTATCATTTAATCTTGTGTATTGAATTAGCACTAATTTCTTTCACATTCTTTTAATATCCAATCTTTGTTTAAAATTTCATAAAAACTGTTTAAAATCACCATAAATCATTTAATTTGTACTTTTTTGATAATGAGAGTCAATTTAAGTGTTTAATTTCTCAACTACTGTTAAAAGATGAACAACCCAATTGATTAATGATGTATAACAGTGATGGGATTTTGCCAGTATATTCTGGACTTGTCCAAATCTTTTTTACAAACGCCCAAAATTGTCCGGGAATATCAAGACATAGTGAATAATATTCAAAATTCCGAAATTAATATAGTTTACTGAGTGTATAACTACCACTCAACCCGATTATCGTCGACAATACGCTGGATTGATTAGGTAATTAAGTGATCAACGTATTTATCGTGTTTAACGTCTATAAACCTACCTTGATTAACTACTTAATCTGCCTTGATTGACTGGCTTAATCCTTTGTCGGACAATTCATCAATCTAATCTTAAACAGAAGGCATTGTTTCCTCTTTGTCAGACTATTCATCAATCCAATAACTGTGATTATAATTTTAATCTTCATGTTAACCTGGTGGTTTCTGCATTGTTGGACATTTTAATCGCATTGATGTGAGCTGACAATATGTATAAACTAGTCATAGATGTGACATATTGTAAGAGTATACAACGCCCAGATCAATAGACAGTCATTATAATTCGTCTGCGATATCACTTCGGTTGAAGCGAGCGTTAAATAAAAGCTATTTCATACACACACATATCCGAAAAATACTAGACATTGCTAACTTTGTTTCTGATCGCACGCGATTACAGCACTCGGCAAACCTCGGCAGATTCCGTTACTCTACATTTAGCTTCGGCTGTATGACGTCAAGTGATATGTACCTTCGAACTTGCCAGTTTTAGAAAGAAGTTGTCAAAATGGCGTCGTTTGCAACGTGTTTAAAATTTTCAGAGCAAAGTTGTCCTTGTTTGAAGAAAATCTGATTAAACTTGAAAGAAAAACAGCTTCAGACGGTTAAAGTACGATAACTGAACCGGTATTAGAAATCTCGCGAGACGCCTGAAATTATGAAATGAATACGTGACAAAATACACGCGTCTAATGTCGAAGAAAAGATTCTATTTTGATAGCATATTCTCGGATTTATGATCATATTTTGAATGGAGTTTATGTTTTTAAATAAAGAAATAAGTAATTTAGGCAATGTTGATGAATATGTCGATTGGAATAGTGTAAGTACTTAATTGTTTTAAACGATAGCGTGCTAGAGTAGAATGCGATTATTTAGCGGATGGTGTCACTCGCTCGTTGTGGTAGAGCGACGGTTATTGCCCAAAAAATTTCGGGATATCATTTTCTTACCCTCTGTAGATAAGTCGTAACGGAGTATAAGACGAATGCCAGACTTCTGCTGAAAAATGTAGTGACTTATGACCCGAAAAATACGGTAATTTTGGAGGAATTTGAAACAGTAAGGATCGGCAGTAGTCTTCACGCTTTCAATTCTATCGTATTACGACATCACATAATTTTGTAGGAATATTACTGACATAAATTTGAATACCATACAGGAATTAAATATGAAAAATAACGAGGTGCACCTATTTTTATACGCCCACATTTTCATGTGGACGTATATTGTCGTCGCCCCTGTCCGTCCGTCCACAATTTGTTTGTGGACACTCTACAGGTCACAATTCTTACCCAATTTTGACGAAACTTGAAATATAGGTCTATCTCCAAAAGATCTCGGCTGCTTTCGATAATGGCATGTATCGGATCGAAACTTTGTGGATCATGGCCCCTGTTTGTACGAAAAATCACGTTTTTAGCTTGTGGACACTATAGAGGTCACAATTTTTATCCGATTTTGTTGAAACTTGAAATGTAAGCTGATAACCCAAAGATCTCGGTTCCTTTCGATATTCGCGCATATATCGGACCGTAACTTTCTGAATTATGGCCCCTGATTGTACGAAAAATCGCGTTTTTAGCTTGTGGACCCTATAGAGGTCATAATTTTTATCTGATTTAAAAATCTGTATTATTATATCACTGTTACACCCTAAGGATGGCTGAGTTCGAATTTCGTGAAAATCGGCCCAAAATTGACAGACAAAATGGCCACCGTTCATTCTCAAATAGCGTGAAAATATGGTATATCAAGGTTGTGGACCCTATAGATGTCACAATCTTTATCCGATTTTGTTGAAACTTGAAATGTAAGTTGATAACCCAAAGATCTCGGTTCCTTTCGATATTCACGCCTATCGGACCGTAACTTCCTGAAATATGGCCTCTGATTGTACGAAAAATCGCGTTTTTAGCTAGTGTACCCTATATAGGTCATAATTATTATCGGATTTAAAAAAACGTATTATTATATCATCGCTACACCCTTTGGATGGTTGAGTTCGAATTTCATGAAAATTGGCCCAAAATTGACAGACAAACATGGCTGTCGTTTGTTCTCAAATAGCGTAAAAATATGGTATATCAAGGTTATGGACCCTATAGAGGTCACAATTTTTATCCGATTTTGTTGAAACTTGAAATGTAAGTTTATAACCCAAAAATCTCAGTTCCTTTCGTTATTCGCGCATATCGAACCGTAACTTCCTGAATTATGGCCCCTGATTGTACGTAAAATCACGTTTTTAGCTTGTGGGCCCTATAGAGGTCATAATTTTTATCCGATTTAAAAAAACGTATTATAATATCACTGTTACACCCTCAGGACGGCTGAGTTCGAATTTCGTGAAAATTGACCCAAAACTGCCAGACAAAATGGCCGCCCTTCGTTCTCAAATAGCGTAAAAATATGGTATATCAATGTTATGGACCCTATAGAGGTCACAATTTTAATCCGCTTTTGTTGAAACTTGAAATGTAAGTTTATAACCCAAAGAACTCGGTTCCTTTCGATATTCGCGCATATCGGACCGCAACTTCCTGAATTATGGCCCCTGATTGTACGAAAAATCGCGTTTTTAGCTTGTGGACCCTATAGAGGTCATAATTTTTATCCGATTTAAAAAACTGTATTATTATATCACCGTTACACCCTAAAAACGGCTGAGTTCGAATTTCGTGAAAATCGGCCCAAAATTGACAGACAAAATGGCCGCTGTTTGTTCTCAAATAGCGTAAAAATATGGTATATCAAGGTTGTGGACCCTATAGAGGTCACAATTTTTATCCGATTTTGTTGAAACTTCAAATGTAATTTTATAACCCAAAGATCTCGGTTCCTTTCGATATTCGCGCATATCGGACCGTAACATCCTGAATTATGGCCCCTGATTGTAGGAAAAATCACTTTCTTTTTAGATTGTTCTTTATCCATCTCTCGAAAATGTGGGCGTATCTTGCCTGGCAGCTGCTGGTTTATTAGGGACGAATTTGAATATTTTGTTTACACGTGATTTTTGTGTGTGGTCTAAAAACTGCCATCTTAAATAACGATAAGAGTTATGTCCCTTTATTTTCGGTAAAAATGTCCCGACAAGAAAAATTTTGAAATCCCATCACTGATGTATAATGATTAATTTTTGAACAGCGGTCAGGAAATTAAATACTTGTAAATTGAACACTCATTATCAAAATTAATCAGTCAGCACAAGTACAAATTAGATGATTTTGGGTGATTTTAAACGATTTTTACGAATTTTTACAACAAAGATTTGATATTAAACGAATGTGAAAGAAATTAGTGCTAGATACACAAGATTAAATTATACCTGGGTTACAGTGGCAGTGTTTGGGGGTTTTTTTGTCAATCGTTTATTTTCCTATATGTTTATTTCAACTTATCTTTAATTTATTTCAACAACATATTTAAAAATGTATAAAGTTAGTGTTGCATCCATTTTCATAAAATTCGAGTATCAGTTGGATATTATTAAATCGTCATGTTTCACCTTTATTTCAACAGCGTGTAGGAAAAGGTACGAATCAATCTGAGGTACGAAGCGAGGTAGGAATGAACTAAGTACGAAACAGCCAGGTAACGAAACAGCCTGCACCTGTTGACGAGTTATTTACCTTAGACATAAAATTGATTGATCATTTTGATGAAAATAAATGCCCTCGAAGTGTCTATTTTGAAATCATTATGCCTTCTATTTTTCACCATAATTCTTCTCAGTTTGCCAAATGGAACCTTTTGTTGCCACATCTGACATAAATTTATAATAACCCTACACTAGCCTATTTTTTTCATGTTTTTGAATCACAAAACTCCACTTGATGCATGCGTACATACATCATGCTACATATTAAATCTGGGAGTAGTGTCTACCATAGGTAGTTTAGCTCTGAATGATAGTCTTCTTACACTCGACCGTACAGGTCAAGTCAAGGAGACTTGTGTTCAGAGTTGAAACTACATGTAGTAGGCTACCTACGCAATATGTTTCCCACATTGTGTATTGTGACATCCTATTCTATAAAACTATAGATTATGAGATGTCATCAAGGTTCATAAATTGCTTTTTATTTTAATAATATACCAAACACTTGTACATGTATTGTATATTATATAATTCCAAGACTGCGACGAATAAACTTCTTACTCAAGTACCGGTAGTAGTAATGGGTGGAAGAATCCCTGGAGCAGTGCAGGGCCTGATTCCTAGAAATTCTTAAGCACGTTCTTGTGCTTAGATTTTAAGTAGACTTTGCATTTAAATAAACTTAAAATCCTTAAGATCGTTCTTTTGCTTAGATTTTAAGTAGACTTCAGTGTAAGCACAAGTAGGCCTACATTATTATGTGTTCCAAGATAAAACTTAAGCACAACTTCATTCTTAAACATTGTCAATCTAAGAACAAGTCCCAAGCAAGGTATACGGTTTGCTTACCAACCTTAGGTCTGTTTCTGCTTCAAACAAGATGGCTGACCGCAAAGTTATTTAACGGCATTTCCTACATCTTTTGATATCAAAGAGACAATTGAAAGACAGAGAAAATCCTTTAGAAACATATTCTCGAGAAAAGGGCTATAGAAAATTTCGCTTCTAGTACATGTACTACTCAGTCAGAAACCATTTATTTACCAATTAGTAAACAACACAAACACACAGGCCACTTTAAGATCAGGCGCTCTCACAATTATTCAGTTTGTTTGCATGTGCTTGCATTATTTTTAGCTTGTGGCACATTTTATATGTGTATAGGGGACATGTCAAATGCATCTAAACTGACCATTTGCAGCCGACCAATTTATGACGTAATTCGCATACCAATATTGTTTTTATGACGTTAGAGAGCATCGTAATCTCGGTTTACCAGTCACAATGTGCTTAGACTCATACTTGACTTGTGCTTACGTAAGAACGGTTTTGAGAATTTTCTAGAGACAGTATTTTATAAAGTTTCTTACGTAAGAAAAAGTGAAGCATGACTTTGTTTTTACTTTAAGAATTTCTAGGCCCTTGTCAGCGTGCATCTCAGTGATACAGTTGGGGCGAAAAGGAGGCAGTCCTTTTTAAAAAATAATCCCAAAATATAATTCCCCCAGCAATACACTTGACAAGACTGTACGAAAGTAGAAGTTTTTATTCAAGGACGTGTTTCAGGTTGGAAAAGGGCTCCCAAACGAAACGCATCCCGGAATAAAAACTTCTACTTTCGTACAGTCTTGTCAAGTGTATTACTGGGGAATCATATTTTAGGATTATTGTATATTATAATGAACTGTTTATGTGTCTTGTTGTAGATCTGAATGTTGAGTGGAATGGTGAAATTTTATAACCAGTAGGTTTGAGAATCAGTGATTCATTGATTTACATTATTTAACAGATAAACATAATGGCAGCTGCCTCACTGAGCCAACTAATGAAAAGTTTAGCAAGGCTAAGCTTACTTAATCATGCTAAATCAAGACAAAGGTAAGCATACCTTTTAACTATACAAGCCTTTCTTTAGTTAACAGTGCAGTACAGCATACATATTTTGGGCAGATCTACCACAATATTTGTACATTGCAAAGTCATGAATTTTATATGCCCACAATATGGGTTTATATCCCAAAGATCTCGGTTCCTTTCGATATTGGCATGTATCAGACTGTAACTTCATGGATTATGGCCCCTGCTGATTGTACGAAAAATCATGTTTTTAGCTTATGGACACTCTGTAATCACAATGGCTCTGTAATCATGCTCTCTTGAATTCACGCAATGGGGTGTTTTCAGTGTTGAGGTGCATTTTCAACAGAACTTAAAAAAAGCCACATTTTATACCCCATGTCTGCATCATAAAATCATGATATTCCCATCCTGAAAATTGAATGTTTTGTGTTTAAGAAAACTGATCTGTAGTGTGTTTAAGCTAGCATGAAAACATCGTTCTCATATCTTTTTGGGACACAATTACTCTCTTCCTAATTGAGCTAGAATGTTCAAACTTGATGTAGGTGTTTATTAGGTCTATGCCTTGATGGAGTTCGAAGATGATCTTTTTCGGCTTAGGGTAAGCAGAGATAAGCAATTTGATTGGTTGATGCTTTGGGACAGAGCTAATCGATTTCATTTGTCGATGGGTTGGGACAAGATAATCTTGATCTATCTGATAGAGAGTGATGAAACTTAGTGAAAAAAATAAATGTGCGTTTTATTAATAATAATATGTGTCATCTATTTATTTTGCAATTTCGGCAGGGGACATCAAGCCTCACTGTTGGCTTTTTTTTTTTAGTTTCCACACTAGTAGTATTGTAGATGGTAAAGCAAAGTTTATTAAACTGGGTATAAATGTAGATAGATATACATTAAGACCTATACATTTACCTAAATCTGGAGGACGAGGTCATGATGGTAAGGCTCATATTTCTTTAATTTAATATCCAAATGATGATCTGCGACATTATTTTCAAAAGTAGATGCAAGTATGACCATCCATCTTTAAATGCAATAATAATAAAAACTTTATTTAATGAGGCAACGTATTTAGTTTGCAAAAAAAACCCTAATCTTCCATAGGTCCCTCCTAAATTACAAAGACATATATACATGTAATATCAGGATAAATTTAAAATCATTAGAAATGCAATAGCATTTTAAAGTGGGAAGTTTGATAAGTCACTCCCAAACTACAAAACATATACATTATACAAGTAGAATATAGGAAGAACACTATAATTACACACAAAATAAAATAGAATGCAGTTGCAAGTTAAAAATAATAAGTATGTCATCAGTTGAATATTATGGTTCCTACAGTGTGCAAAATAGATGAGTTTTCAGTTTAATCTTAAAATTTTCAACATTTTTACACATCTTTATATCAAAAGGCAGATTGTTCCATAAAAGACATGCAGAATAATGAAAAATACGTTTCATGGATTCCGTTTTGCATTTTTGAAGAAAAAGAGATTTACTGGTCTGTGAACGGAGCAAGATATCCGTTTTGGAAACAAGAGATTTTTCAACAAAATGGAAATTTAGATAAAGTGGAGTATTAAATGTAATAATTTTGAATGATAAGACAATTTTATTGTAAAGAATCCTCTGTGTAAGGGTAAGCCAACCGAGTTTAGTAAATAAAGAGGTGGACGGAGTTTCAATCGGTGCATCAAGAATAGCTCTTGCTGCCCTCTTTTGTAATTTTAAAAGAATGTCTAATCTACTTTTGGTAGCATTTCCCCAAATAATAGAGCAATAATCAAATATTGGTAGTATGTAACTGTTATAAAACAAAATTCTTGTCTCGTAAGGTAAATGATCTTTTATCTTATTTAGGAGAAATATTTTTGATGCAAGTTTTTTAGACATATCTGCTATCTGTGCTTCCCAATTAAGGTCTTGGTCAATTTGAATTCCAAGTAATTTTGCGGTAGTAACCGTCTCAATTTTCTCACCATGGAGTGATAAAGTTAGGTTTTTCTGATTTCTTTTGTGTTTTGTTGAAATCAGCATTGATTTTGTTTTCGAAGGATTGATTACCATCCCATTGTTTTCACACCATTCAGCAACCAAATAGAGATCATTTTGGAGATTTTTGGCGATGGATAAAATATCTTTGTGTGAACAATGCAGGGTACTGTCATCAGCAAACAAATCTATCTGACTTGATTCAATATTGAGTGGGAGATCATTTATAAAAATTAGGAATAGGAGAGGACCCAGGATCGAACCTTGTGGAACCCCGCATTTGACTGTAGTAATTGAGGAGGTAATTGATCCTAAACATACTTTTTGCTTCCGTGAGTCAAGATATGATTCAATCAAAATTTGTGAATTATTATCAAATCGATAAAGATGTAGTTTTTCAATAATAAGCTTATGATCAATGAGATCAAATGCTTTGCTAAAATCAAGATACACTATACCACTCATCGCACCATTATCGATAGCATCAAGCCAATTATCTGTCATTCGGATCAGTGCAGTAGCACATGAATGATTTGATCTAAATCCAGATTGGTAAGCATAAAGAACATTGAAGGTTTCCAAATAAGTTTGAATTTGAGTGCTCAAGTGCCTTTCGAATATTTTTGAAATTGTGGGGAGAATTGAGATTGGCCTATAATTGTTCGGATCATCTTTAGCTCCCTTCTTATGTATAGGAATAATTTTAGCCAGTTTAAGGGCACTGGGGAACATGTTTTGAGAAATACAAAGATTAATGATATATGTCAAACTGCTACAAATTGTATTCGCAGACAATTTTAAAATTTTGGGTCCAATACCATCACACCCAATGGCTTTGTTACTATTTAAACTCAATAAATGTTTTAATACCTCTGTGGTAGTAATACAATTAATAGAAAAGTTGTTTTTTGGGGGAATCTTATCATTTACGTAATCTGATATCTTTCGTTTGCACTCTTGAGAAAGTGGTGTATAGGGGGGCTTAATGTCATCAGTTAAATTAGTGAAGTAATCATTCATCAATTAGCAATAGCATTTAGATCATTAACTGTTGTTTTTCCATATTTAATACTATTGGGATAAGGGCAATTATTGGTTTTATTTTGTATGTCACTAAAATATCTCCATATGTTTTTAGATTGCTCTTCATTTTCGATAGAGTCCTTGATAAAGTTTTTTTTGGCTTTATTAATGAGATTTTTGGTTTTATTTCTCCATATTCTATAGTCGTCACACCTCTTGGAGGCTTTAAAGAAGTCCCTGAACTTTCGGGCTTTATTTATTTCCTCATTAAACCACTTCGGTTGATAGTATCTTTTTACTCTTTTTCGCTTTTGCGGAGCATGGCAGTCTAAAACACCTATAAAAAGGTTATACCAAGTATCAAGGGCAGAATTTGGGTCATCAATTGACTCGACTAGTTCAAATGGAATTTTAGCAAGATCATTAATAAAATTAGAATCATCAAAGTTTTTGTAATTTCTGTATAGAATTTCCAAGTGGTTGTGTTTTGTGATTTTTCTCTTGCAGTTTCCAATGATAAAAATAATCGGAAAATGGTCACTAATACCATATTGAGGAACTTTAATTTCAACAATATTATACGGTGTGTTTGTATATAGATGGTCAATGACAGTAGAAGAATTTTTAAAACAGCGTGTAGGGGCAGTAATTAATTGATGTAATCCCTGCATATTGATTATGTTTTTCCATCGTTTTGGAACAGTAGTTGAATAATCTATATTAAAATCTCCTATTACATAAATAGATTGACCAGTATTTATGGAATTTAAACTAGTTTCAAAATCATCAAACCAACCTGTACACGAAGAAGGTGGTCTATATACAAGACATAATAAAAATGATTTTTCATATTCTGGATGGAGTTCAATCCAAATGGATTCGATATTTTGATGTTCATAATCAAGTTTTCTTGAATATTTTAGATCTGAATTTACATATAAGATAAGGCCTCCGCCACTTTTGCTCAGTCGATCTTTTCTGATCAGATCATAACCAAAGATATTAATAAATTTATCGTCAATTTCAGAATGTAAAAACGTTTCAGAAAAGCCCATGACATTAAAATTTTCATTATCTTGCAAAATTAAATCCCTTACTTCATCAATTTTACCGAAAAGTCTATTTATATTTAAATGACCTATTTTAAAACCTTTACGTTTGGTTGAAAATAAAGTGGAAACAGAGGGATAATTGATGGATTGTAATGAATCGAGGGTTACATCAGAGTCAATAAACTGACTGCTGAGGTCGCCTTTATGCATCGTTGGATCATTACTTTTATGATCTTCAAAAATCAGACTATTATTATCAGTACCAACAGGATTATCGAAGGAAGTTTCAGTATCATTAGTTGTGCTATTACTTGAAAGAGTTACATTAGTGAAACAGTGGAAGTTATCAATCAATGGTTCAATAGAATAATCAAAAATATTAGTGGTGTTGGTCATATATTGCATAAAATTATTATAATCAATTAAATCAGAATCATACGTAGATTTTCCGGCTTCAAAAACATTGCCTTTATCCTAGTACCTATCTGTACAATATTGCCTATGAAATGCTTTACAATAATTCGCTTTATGACCCTCAATATTACACCGGTAACATGTAACCTTGGTACCAATTTTACACGTGTCTTTTGTATGACCCGAAATACCACAGAAGAAACAGGGTTTAATGAAACTATTGTTAATGTCTAGTCTTTCCTTGATAATGTCTACATATTCTTCATAAATATGTAGTAGTGCAGATGTACCTCTGTCAGACAAGTGAATATTGTCTTTCCAAATATGTCTGTAGTCAGATTTTATTGAATCAAACACTCGAATTAGATTTACTGTTATAAAATTGAATGTTATGATCGATATTTTGTCCTGCCTGGTCATGTCTTGGTGTAGCCTCACAGATGAAAATATGTGCATTTGGCCTTTTCTTTCTAATAGTGTCCACTGTTCTTTTCAGGTCATATGTAATATCAGATAAGGACCGTAGCTCTGATACGTCATTCCCTCCAGCCTGAATGATAATTTTGTCATACATGCTGAGATCCATGCGCTGTAGATTTTTGACAATGTTGAAAATCTTGGCACCATTAATTGACAGCACTTTAACATTTGATTTTAGCCCATTTAATTTAACTCTTTGTAAAATGGAACTGCCGATAAGAAGAATGTTTTTCTGGGATTGGGTTTCATTTGACAATTTATCTCCAATTACAATCGGTGGTTCTTTGGGTTTACTGGTGTCAATGACCTTTAGTCCATCCTGTCTCTCTTCAGTTAAGGTTCTAGTTGTTAGTGGCGTATCTGTACTGGCACGTGTCTTTGATGTTGATGGGGTAGTGTGGGTGGTAGTTTCTGTTGTAACATTCTTATCATCGTGGGAATGGAGATTTATAATGGATACATTGTTGTCTGAAGTATTATCTCTTGTACTAACCGGTTTGTCTTCACTAGTATTTTGTTGTTGATTTACTGCTGGTGTCTCATTTGATATGATTTTGATAGTGTCTGTGTTGATTTCCTGACTGGTTAGCATTACCGGGTCTGTTTGAGTTGCACTGTCAACGTAACTGATTTTATGGTTGAGGGCCTCTTGAAGTTGAAACACTTGGCTATCAAGATCTCTTATTTTCTCAAACAGGCAGTCTAGGTCAGAGTTTGTTACATGTACATTTTGTGATTGATAAGGTGTAGAATAAATTGGAGGAATGAAATCAAGTGAACTATTTTCCACAGGGAGTGGTATGATTACATTTCTAGATGTACTATGGCTGTATTCAGAATTAACATCAAATAAATCTACTATATCTTCCTTTGAGGTATTTTCAATACTGTTCACATCTCCTGCGAATTTATCCAGAAGATTTGGAAAAACAGATGTAATCCATGCTATGCAGGCCCCTCCTTGAATATGTACCATATCCGTTGTTGGGTATAGATAAATCTTGAGTTTTTTGCCACCCATTTCAGTAGTTAGAACAAAACCATGATGAGATTTTGGAAAACTGTCTTTCGAATAGTGTAAATGCAACAGTTTTTCCATTATGTTAAAATATGAGTGTTGAATAAATTGTACTGTAACACTGCAGCATTTATCTGTGTAGTGACTAAGTGTGAAATACTCATTGTTATTGACATCAATTGGTGTTGGTTCACAATTTGAACTTACTTGAGAGGATTGGTTTTCAAATGAATTTACTTCCATCTTCGTATATTTTAAGTATATTTTGTATATTATTCACATAAATTAGCAGATTGTAATATCCATATAAACGAAGCAATAGCTTACCGTATTTTATTATCCATATAGTATTAAGTATTCACGGCTCTATTTAAGAATTGTCACTATATTTTTGAATCCAAAATTCTAAAATTAAGATTAAGGTAATCCACAGAATTTCACGAAAATCCAAATAAACATGTATAATAATCTTATCTTAACATTACAAGAAGGAATGGCACTTTGTTGGTTAGTATTTTTGAAGTACAGCACAATTTCTCCAGAGCTATTTTATTCCTGGCTGGTACTGGCGGCCATTTTATGTCAATATAGTTTTTATACGCCCACATTTTCATGTGGACCTATTATGCCGTCGCCCCTGTCCGTCTAGAGGTTACAATTCTTATCCGATTTTGACGAAACTTGAAATATAGGTTTATCTCCAAAAGATCTCGGCTGCTTTCGATATTGGCATTTTTGAAACTTCATGGATTATGGCCCCTGTTTGTACCAAAAATCACGTTTTTAGCTTGTGGACCCTATAGAGGTCACAATTTTGATCCGATTTTGTTGAAACTTGAAATGTAAGTTTATAACCCAAAGATCTCTGTTCCTTTTGATATTCGCACATATTGGACCGTAACATCCTGAATTATGGCCCCTGATTGTACGAAAAATCACGTTTTTAGCTTGTGGACCCTATAGAAGTCATAATTTTTATCCGATTTAAAAAAACGTTCTATTATATCACCGTTACACCCTAAGGATGACTGAGTTCGAATTTCGTGAAAATCGGCCCAAAATTGACAGACAAAATGGCCGCCGTTCGTTCCCAAATAGCGTAAGAATATGGTATATCAAGGTTGTGGACCCTATAGGGGTCACAATTTTTATCCGATTTTGTTGAAACTTGAAATGTAAGTTTATAACCCAAAGATCTCGGTTCCTTTCGATATTCGTGCATATCGGACCGTAACTTCCTGAATTATGACCCCTGATTGTACGAAAAATCACGTTTTTAGCTTGTGGACCCTATAGAAGTCATAATTTTTATCCAATTTAAAAAACCGTTCTATTATATCACCATTACACCCTAAGGATGACTGAGTTTGAATTTCGTGAAAATCGGCCCAAAATTGACAGACAAAATGGCCACCGTTCGTTCTCAAATAGCGTAAAAATATGGTATATCAAGGTTGTGGACCCTATAGAGGTCACAATTTTTATCCGATTTTGTTGAAACTTGAAATGTAAGTTTATACCCAAAGATCTTGGTTCCTTTCGATATTCGTGCATATCGTACCGTAACTTCCTGAATTATGGCCCCTGATAGTACGAAAAATCGTGTTTTTAGCTTGTGGACCCTATAGAGGTCATTATTTTTATCCGATTTAAAAAAACGTATTATTATATCACCATACACCCTAAGGACAGCTGAGGTCGAATTTCGTGACAATATAGGTGTATCCCCAAAAGATCTCAGCTGCTTTCGATATTGGCATGTATCGGATCAAAACTTCATGGATTATGGCCCCTGTTTGTACGAAAAATCACGTTTTTAGCTTGTGGACCCTATAGAGGTCACAATTTTGATCCGATTTTGTTGAAACTTGAAATGTAAGTTTATAACCCAAAGATCTCTATCCTCTCGAAAATGTGGGCGTATCCTGCCTGGCAGCTGCTGGTTTAGTTCTTTCCCGTCATTTTCATTTCATTTTCTCATCCGTCCCATTTTTAAACAGCTTGATCCATTTTTCTGAAACTTCTGGAACGGGAAGTCATTCCGTTTACAGCAATCCAAGTCTATGTTATTTCCCTTTAGTTTTCAGATTATTTTTTTCCCGGGTGCAATGTTTCTCACTATGTTTAGACTTGTAACTTTGGGAGTTTTTCACTGATTTTGATAATTATTTTTTTTTTCTTCTTTTTTCTTTTAAGATACATGTACTTGATATAATCCATGTCATATGACGATGAATATGGAAGCTTTTATATCTGCATGGGACAGTAGCAGAGGTCCTGTGTACACATTGGCATGCACGTAAAAGATCCCTTGGCAGTTAGAATTCGATATAAGAGTAGGTTGTAGCGCCGCTGCCCGGGCAAAATTTCCCTCATAGCACACTGTATGGCGTATGCCCGATTTCATTAACCCAGTTTACGAGCAGAACAGCAGGACGTTAAACCCCATTTCATTTCATTATCTGTTTAGGTTAAGCAGAGATAAGTAATTTGATTGGTTGATGCTTTGGGACACGATAAATTTGGTTTTAATTAAGTGAGAGTGATGAGACTTAGTGTATAGCTTTATTATATCAATACCTTGACTAATGAACATTTTCTGCTGAGGGTAAGCAGAGCGATAAGCAATTTGATTGGTCGAGACTTTGGAACACAATTACTGTCCTATCTAATTGAGGTATAATGTTTAAACTTGGTGTAGGCATTCATTAGGTGAATCCCTTGATGGAGTTCGATGATGAACATTGTCTGCTTACAGTAGGCAGAGATAAGCAATCTGATTGGTTGATGCTTTAGGGGCACGATAACTTTGGTTATATTGAAGTGAGAGCGACAAAACTCTGAATATAGATTCATTATATCATTACCTTGACTAAGTTAGATTGTGCAAATTTTCTGCCTGGGCTAAGGGGAGCGATAAGCAATTTGATTGGTCAAGACTTTGGAACATAAAAAATCTGCTTTTAATTGAGGGAGAATGTTTAAAGGGCCAATCCCGATAATATTTTTGCGAATAAAACTGCTTAATTTTGTGTTAAAATCCCTTAAAATCGTCTACCTTAGAGTTGAGCAACTAACTCAATATACAATGTATGTGATACGTTTTCAAATAACTTAAACCTGCCAGTCTTCATTTGTAAATGGAGACCGGCGTCCCAAGCTGTATTATGCGGTGTCTGGATAAAACCAGACATTTTATATAAATAATGTGTAGGTGAAATTTACCTTTCGTTATCAAGTACAGTACGTAGGTCATGCACTGTACAGACCTCTAAAGGAACGGGAATCGATTATCAGGTCACCCATCGAAAAAAATTGACCCGAAATCTTAAAAGAGTTACGTGTCCGGATAAGCAGTTTTGACGTTCACGTCCAAACAACTTAAAATTTTGAGCTAAAAATTTCAGACATGGTAAATACGCCATTCCTTTATATTTTGGCGTTTAAATTTCATACGTACTCGGACTTTTATTTTTGAGACTCCTTTCAAATCGGGATAGTCCTTTTAAACCTGATGTAGATGTTCATTAAGTGAATGTCTTAACTGATTTCAATGATTAACATTTCAAGCTAAAGCTAAGCAGAGCTAATCAATTTCATTGGTCGATGCTTTGGGACAAGATAATCTTGATTCTATCTCATAGAGAGTGATGAAACTTAGTGTGTAGTTTGATTGCTCGATACTTTTGAAAAAAATAAATGTCCGATTAATTAATATGTGTCATCTATTTATTTTGGGATTTCGACGGGGGACATCAGCCTCACTGTTGGCTTGTTTATTTTTGTTTTTGTTCATTGTACAGTGGTTTGCTAACTGTGTATTCTTTGTTTAAAAAGGTCGCATTCAAACACATGGTGTAGGAGGTGGACATAGACAGTGTTATCGTATGGTTGACTTTAAACGTATTGGTCCTAAAACTGGAGAACCATTAGTAGAAAGAGTATTAGCTGTTCGTTATGATCCGTGTAGAAGTGCTGATATAGCGGTAGTGGCAGGAGGAGAAAAAGCTAGATATATTGTAGCTTCAGAAAACATGAAAGCTGGAGATTTAATTAAAAGTTCTGGAGAACTGAAAAAGATAACAGGTACCTAGAGTTTATAGCCCAAATTGGATGTAAATATGTGATGCGCTGTGTAATTGTCCCCCACCTTTCGAAGAAAGCAGGGGACTATTAAAATGGGTTCGTCTGTCTGTCCGTCACACTTTTTGGGACACAATAACTCTCCTTCTATTTGAGCTAGAATGTTCAAACTTGGTGTAGGTGTTTATTAGGTCAATACCTTGATGGAGTTCGAAGATGAGCATTTTCTGTTTAGGTTAGGAGGATCATGGTGGCTTAGTGGGTAAGACGCTGGTGAGAGTGAGGACACTTGGTGTATAGTTTTATCACATCAATACCTTGACTAAGTTTGATAGTGAGCACTTTCTGCTCAGAGTAAGCAGAGCGAGAAGCAATTTGATTGGCCGAGACTTTGGAACCCTTTACTCTCCTTCTAATTGAGGTAGAATGTTCAAACTTGGTGTAGGCGTTCATTAGGTGAATGCCTTGATCTAGTTCGATGATAAACAATGTCTGCGTATTGTAAACAGAGATAAGCAATCTGATTGGTTGATGCTTTGGGGCACAAGAACTTTAGTTATAATTAAGTGAGAGTGATGAAACTCTGAGTATAGATTCATTATATCATTACCTTGACTAAGTTCGATGATGAGAATTTTCTGCTTAGGCTAAGGAGAGATAAGCCATTTGATTGGTAAAGACTTTGGAACATTAACAACTCTGCTTTTAATTGAGGTAGAATGTTTAAACTTGATATAGATGTTTATTAATTAGCCGAATGTCTTGTCTGTGTTCAATGATTAACATTTCGAGCTAAAGCTAAGCGGAGCTAAACAATTTCATTGGTCAGTGCTTTAGGACAAGATAACTTTGATAGGGAGTGATGAAACTTAGTGTATAGTTGATAATCAGTTTGCTTGCTTGATACTTTTAAAAAAAAATAAATGTGCGATAAATTAAAATGTGTCATCTACTTATTTTGGGATTTCGGCAGGGGACATCAGCCTCACTGTTGGCTTGTTATATCTGGAGATGTGTAGATTCTTCTGTGCAATGTTTCCTCAAGTTGAAATATACTTCCTGGTTCCTTCTAACCTAGCCAACAAGAGTATTATGTGAAACTATATTTAATGGTTGCTTCATATTACTTGTATAGTACTAAATTATTATAATGGTATATCTTACATAGTATAAATTTATGTTTTTTTCTGTTTTACTGGTATGTTATAGATGTCAGACACTGTAATGACATAGTATCTCCTTACATAATATGGGTAGTGACAATTGACATTGTTTAAAATATGGGTTTATTGGACTGAAATGCTTATGAATTTTGACCTATAATGATAAACATTGCTTTTGTTTTATGTTACAGTGAAAGCTATAGAAGGTGATAGCTATCCTTTAGGATCTTTACCCTTAGGAACTTTAGTACATAATATAGAAATATATCCTGAAACTGGTGGTCGAGTGGCCAGGGCTGCAGGTACTTGTGGACAACTTATAAAGAAAATTGGTGATCGCTGTATTATAAGAATGCCATCTAAGCGTGAGATGAATGTTTCTGAAGAATGCACAGCAACTGTTGGTAGAGTTTCTAATATTGATCATAATAAACAACACATAGGATCAGCATCACGTGCTAGATGGTTTGGTATCAGACCAGACAGTGGATGGAAGCAAAAGAAAACAGGTTATAACGGACGAAAAATAAAACCAGTTAAACCAGTTGTTATTCATAAAGCTTCTAAAGCACCTGCAAGTGCTATATATAAAGATACTGTATAGTTAATTTAATAAAGATAAGATTTTAGTATTTATCATACAGTTCTTTGTGGTCTTATATATGTGACTCATTTGACTCAGGAGTAAGAGAAGATTGAACAATCCTAAAAACAAGTCTTAAAACATTCCTTTGAAAAGCATGGCCTGTACCAGCCACATCTTGTCAAATTAAACCATACCATTTGTGCCATAATTAGTAGACTTGAATTCCTAAAAGATGATGTTGAGCAATAATTTTTTTTTTCAAGGAAATTGACAAAACTTTCAGTTTCCATCATAAATATAGACAAGACTTTTATCTACACCTCAGGCCTATAAGCATAGCAATTTTCCATTTTATACTGCATCTTCTGAAAATGTAAATTGGGAAAGTTAGTCTCGAAGACTCAGACTATTAGTATCAATATGACTAAATGTTGCGATATGCACATTGCTAGGTGTATTCTGGTGGCTCAAGGGGGAGAATTTATGTGACAAATTTTTCTAGAGCAGTCTTGATTCTGGTTGGTAATCAGGTGTTTGAGGAGGATTTTTTTTCGAGAATTGGGTGGAAATGTGTTAAATGTAGAAATAAATGATGGTCATCTTTATGGATTAGTAAAACATTAATTTTAAATCAGATAAAAATTATGACCTCTATAGGGTCCACAAGTTAAAAACGCGATTTTCCGTACAATCTGGCCCTGAGTTCACAAAGCATTCTCAGACTTAAACATACATTATGCAAGAGCTAAATCTGTCTATTGCAGGTCTTTCTTTAGGCTTGAAATGTTATCTAAATTATTGATTAGACATTAATTAACTTATCCAGACCATAATCTACTCTAGATGGCATCGCTAGCCTGCGATCTAAAGTGGATTGTGAGCCGATTTACTGCATAACTTTCCTTCTCGATTAAATGGATAATCGAGACTGTGCTGTTTATTGTAATGACTTTAGTAATGATGACCGAGGCTAGGCAGAAATTTCATTCGCTTAGTTCTGGGTTCATAGTGGATCAATTTGAATTAAATTTTCAGTAAATTGCCTTTACGTTATCTAGTTTTTAATTATTATAGTGAGAACTACCAACTCGTTATCGAATCTCCCATAATGTATCTTTAAGTTAAGAATTTACCCAAAATTGTTTGCCGTAACTAAAACATGGCCCTTTATAAAACTTTTTTTGTTTTAATGTATCAAATACATCTATAACAAACTATTTGCAAAGTTTTGTGTTTCTGGATCAAAAATATTTCTCATAAACAGTGATTGAAATTTGAGTAAATTTTTTAATTTAAGTCTGAGAATGCTTTGTGAACTCGGGGCCAGGGGCCATAATTCAAGAAGTTATGGTTTCATAAAAATCGGACCAAAACTGACAGACAGAATGGTCGCCCCTCGTACTCAAATAGCATAAAAATAATGGTATATCAATGTTGTGAACCCTCGAGAGGTCACAATTTTCTTCTGATTTTGATGAAAACTGATATTCGATATTTGCACATATCGGATAGTAACTTCCTGAATTATGGCCCCTGATTGTACGAAAAATCTTGTTTTTAGCTTGAGGTCCCTCTAGATGTCACAATTATTTTCCGATTTAAAAAAACCGTTCAAACATATCACTGTTGCACCGTAATTTTGGTTGTGGGCACTCTAGAGGTCACAATTTTGATCTGATTTTGATGAAACTTGAAATACATGAATATAACCCAAAGATCTTGGTTCCTGTCGATATTCGGGGATATTGGGTGTAACTTCCTGAATTATGGCCCCTGATTGTATGAAAAATCATGTTTTTAGCTTGTTGTAGAGGTCACAATTTTTATCCGATTTAAAAAAAAAAACATGTGAATATATCACCATTACACACTAAGATCTTGGTTCATTTTGATAATCGCGTATATCCGAAAGTAACTGCCTGGTTTATGGCTCCTGAATGTTCGAAAAATCGCATTTTTAGCTTGTGGATTCTCTAGGTCACAATTTTTTTTCCGATTTTAAAAACTGTTTAGATATTTCACCATTCCACCATAATGAAGGTTGAATTCAAATTTCGGGAAAATCGAAATGAAACTACCCGACAAAATGGCCGCTCTTTGTACGCAAATTGTGTAAAAGTAGAGCATTTCCGACAGTCTATTTTTCAAAATTTTCTTGGCGAGGTCCCCAATGGACTCGCTACTTTGGCGCTCACAAGGGGAATTCGTTAATTCGTTGAGGTTCGCAAGTCCGTTCGTTTGACATTTTGTTCTGTAGTCGGATATAAACTAGTGATCAGGCGACGAACGGTATCTGGGCAGATCTATTTATCTCGACGATCGGTGCCTGACAGAATACTGTAAGACAGCATTTCCGGCAGTCTATTTTTCAAAATTTTCTGGGGGAGGACTCCCTCCTTTGACGCTTGTGAGTGGGCTTCGTCGTGACTCGCAAGTCCGTTCGTTTGACACTTTACCTCATCGATCAGTGCCTGAAATACTGCCAGGCTGCATTTCCGGCAACCTGTTTTTCAAAATTTTCTGGGGAAGGCCCCCTACCCCTAGTTGATGCTCGTGCCTTTGCCCCCTTAACCTTGGACTTTGCCCTAGCTTTGCCCCTCCAATCACCGACGGTTTGCGCCGCCACTGCCTCTAGAGGTCACAATTTTTATCTGATTCTGATGAAACTTAAAACATATCTTTATATCCCAAAGATCTCAGTCCCCTTTGATATTTGGCATTTCAGACCATAAATTTCTGGAATATTGTCCCTGCTTGTACAAAAAAATCCCGTTTGTTTTAGCTTGTTCTCTATCCATCACTTGAAAAATGTGGGCGTATCCTGCCTGGCAGCCGCTGGTTGCATGAAAAAATAGTCATTTATTTGCGAATTATTTCAACCTGGAACCCTTAATAAAGAGAAGACGAGTGTGTGATAGTTTGAGTTGACTCCTGGTGTGTGTTTTCTCCTGGGCACTTGCGCATGTCCGAAACTGATGTTTGCCTTAACAACGAAACTATATCTACTTCCTGCGGTGTGAGTTGGTTCCTGATCACTGGTCAGTACAGGAAAAAGTATATCATGTACTTGATTAGAGTTTTGTCATTAATAAACATACTTGTTATCGTGATTAGCAGTTGTTTTAGTGATCAGTAGTTACACGATCAACGGATCTAAGTTGATTGGCTTGAAATTGATACAAGTTCTATCGTTCGTGATTTGTTGCCGTTTTTTTTTTTTTTTTTAGTGATTAGTCGTTCTACACACGTACGATCAGTGGAAACCATACAAATTGATGATTGGCTTGAAATTATCAATTAATTCACCTCCAAAGGAAGATTAAGGCCTTTGATATTTCGTGGCTTCATTTATCACAAATATAAAAGTATGGAATTTCTTATTCCGATTTCTTTAACATAAATATAGATTTATTATACCATCCCATACATTCAAACATGTATGTAGACAGCCCAAATACAAGAGAGAATGTTCGCATTGTGGACGGGTATATAAAGGCCTACTAAATAATAATAATAAAGATCGTCAATTTGCATCCTCTCGTGGTGGTAATACTGTAAATATCGGTAGATAATAGTCTATGATTTGACCGTAAGAAAATCTTAGGGGAAATCCAATCACGAGGAGTCAATGCATACCGCAGTAATTGTATTCCATAGAATTGTGACCTGTATACTCAGTTCAATTACTAAATGCCATTGAAACAGTGTAACGGTGTGAGTTGACTCCTACAACTGCGCATGCGCCAAACGGTAATCACACACCAGGAACCATCTGAAACTGCCACAGAGTGCATTTCTACCCATCGGTATCGTGTTTCCATTATACAATTCTTTGATTATCTGTACCGGTATTACAAATGGTTAAACCAATTTTCCCTGGGTAATTATTAAAGTTTCATTTTAAAATTATATTTTTATTATAATTTGTTTTCTTTATAATTTTGTTAATGGTATGCACAGGTTCGAGAATTGCGCATGCGCGACGTTGACGATCAACAACCAGTATGCTTTGATATTTTTTTATAAAACGGCCATAATTTAGTAATGTCTCGCCTATAAAATCCTGTTCTGCAATCGACTGAAGATCTCAAGGACCAGGTGTAATTAATCTGTATGATAATTTTACGTTAAAAACTTCTAGAAGTGCTGGTGAACTAAATTCATGGGCAATTATAACTTCAGAAAATTTCTATATTTAATTATCTGTACTGATAAAAGGGAAATTTTCTGAATTTGACGATCTGTGTAATAATTAATATACGGAGCTCACAATTCAGAAAATTTCTGAATTAGGCTATTAGTATAACATACGAAGCTCAATGTAATCTAATTATATCTCCTACAGGTAGAGTGTAACAGCATGCCGGGTTCCAGGAAGGATCCTTGTGGAATGCCAGACTTTGATGAACTAATGCCGTTGAAAACCACAGATGGTAAACGATCAGAGAGATGGGATTTTATCCATTAGAGGGCATCGGTTATTCCTATTCGCCTTTCGAGAGTTTGCCGGGGGTTGGATGGCCGAATGGTTAGCACGCGCGCGCTGTATCATACGGTCTGTCATTAAGTCAACTGGCGGGGTTTCGATTCCCCGGTTGTATGTGACAAGGAGTAGGGTCGCCTGTCCAACCTCGTTGGTTTTCTTCGGGTCCTCCGGTTTCCTCCCACTGCTAAAGACCCCTACGAGCAAGCGAATTATTGAAATGAAATTGAACGATGTGTTAGTCCCGAAATGACTTAGTTTGTGTCGAGTGGACGTTAAACCCCATTTCTCTATCCGATCGCCAAATTCAGAAATTTTCTGAATTGTGACTGAGCTTCGCATATTATACTGGTCGCCAAATTCAGAAATTTTCTGAATTGTCAGCTTCGTATATTATACCGGTCGCAAAATTCAGAAATTTTCTGAATTGTCAGCTCCGTATATTATACAGATCGTCAAATTCAGAAATTTTCTGAATTGTGGCATTTGTCCATATATATATACAGATCGCCAAATTCAGAAATGTTCTGAATTGTGAGCTTCGTATATTAATTATTATACAGATCGCCAAATT